GGAAAGCTACAGATATCTTTTCAAGTGAGTTGGAATAGGATGCATGAGGAGGCTGATCTCCTTTCCAGAAAGTTAGCAAGGTATGCATCCTTTGAAATGCTGATTTCAAAGAGTTTTCCCTGTTTGGTTAAACCTTCCTTTGTCTGTGTCAAAGCCTTGTTCTGGTATTTCCCAGTAGATGTTTGGTATTCCTTATTGTGTTTGGCTGTGTACCAGAGTCAGTCAGTCGTATTTTTTCCGGTGGTTGTGAAGATTAGATTAAGTTTCACCTTTCTATGCCAGTGAAAACTATTAGCTTGTAAAATGCTATTATCTACGGCGTTGTTGCTTTAACATGCTCTTATCCTATTCTTCACCTCAGTTTAAACTACAACTTTCAGCCTAAATTTGTGTTGATGTTTTAATAGGTGTTGGAGGCGTTTCCTCTTGCTAAGGAGAACTACACTTGCTTTGGCAAAAGATTATGATGCCTTGAAAATTAATGAAAAGACTGTCAAGTCGATGCCATTTGAGCAGCTCGCAATTTTGATTGAATCAACTAATACCCTTCAGACTTTGAAGGCTCTTCTTGACAGGCTTGAGATCCGGTTAAAAGTTTCCAGGACTGTTGCCTCAATAAATTATCCATCCAGCTTTGATAACATAGATCACCTTCTCAAACGAGTTGCTTCCCCAAGAAAGAGGACTACACCAAGGACATCTTTAAGGAGCAGAGATGCAAAGAAAGAATCTTCCATCAGGGACGCAGCTAGAAATTCTGTTAAATTATCAAGGTATCCGATGAGAGTGGTGCTTTGTGCTTACATGATTTTGGGTCATCCAGATGCGGTTTTCAGTGGTAGCGGAGAGCCTGAAATTTCTCTGGCCAAATCTGCAGAAGAGTTTGTTAGACAGTTTGAGTTACTACTAAAGGTTATATTGGACGGCCCCGTACAGAGTTTTGATGATGACTCTGATTCCGCATTGCCCAAACATTTGACCTTCAGATCTCAGCTTGGAGCCTTTGATAAAGCATGGTGCTCCTACTTGAATTGTTTTGTGGGTTGGAAGGTTAAGGATGCTCAGTTATTAGTGGAAGATTTAGTGAGAGCAGCGTGCCATTTAGAGCTCTCCATGATTCAAACTTGCAAGATGACTCCGCAAGGAGAGAGTGGTGATCTTACTCATGATGTGAAGGCTATTCAGAAACAGGTACGTTAGTTGTATATTGATTTATGCATAGGGGAGAGAAGACAAAAGAAACTGGCACACCCTCCTCTCTATTTTAGGTTTTACTTTCTGTGATAAACTAATGTGTTGACACACCTCCCTCTTTCCGTTTTCTACTTATTCTTGTTGCTTGCTTGTGAACTTACTTGTTTTCACTTACAAATCATTATGAGATTGTATGGGAAAACATACATGTCATGGTTATGGTCTGTGAATTTTCCGAAAAGTGAAAGGCATTCTTGCTAACTTTCATCTCGTTCAGTGATTGGGGCCATTCTTTTCTATAATTTCTCTGTAAAAGAATAAGCTAAATATTGACTAGTTTTACAAATTTACTTTGTAGGAATTGTTCAACTTTGTCTTCTTTTTTTTTTTTTTTTTTTTTTTTTTTTTTTTTTTTTTTGAAAATCTAGCAGTGTCTTTGTGTTGACTTATTGATTGACATTTTGAGTTACCTGTTGGCGTAGGTTACTGAAGACCAAAAGTTACTGAGGGAAAAAGTGCAGCACCTAGGTGGAGATGCTGGGATCGAGCGTATGAAATCTGCTATATCCGAAACACGGTTAAAATACTTTCAAGCAAAGGAAAATGGAAGCCCGTCGGGGTTGCAGCAGGTCACACACATTACTTCTCCAAGTCCCCCTAGTTCACCACTCAGTCCTTCTGCTAGTGCAGATAAGAGAAGTGATTCAGGTCGTGTAGTCCGATCCTTATTTAGGGAAGATGATACTGCCCATCATGGAGTTGTGTCCTCTGCTCCAAAAACCAGTTTGGATCAGCAGCTTGGATCTTCTTCACAAAAGTTGGTCACAGAGAATGAATTGATTGTGAATGAGTTTCTCCATGAGCAAAAGCAGGCTTTTGCTGATATTTTTAATGTTAATGACGAAGATCCAAACAATGTCCAGGTTTGTGCATTTTCCTATTTATAAATGGTGGTTTTAACTTAAAGATGTAATTCTTATTGTTTTGGATGTTGACAGGCTCACAAGTAATGCTTTTTCATCTATTTATGGTGGTCATATTTTGAAAATAAAATTTAGTTTGTTGTTATACATGTTTTTACTGATGATGAGCTAGAAATTTTAGCACTTGTCTGACTGGTAGTATTATATTTTCCAGTCAAAGATTAGACAGACAATGGAGAAGGCTTTCTGGGATGGCATAATTGAATCTGTAAAACAGGAGGAGCCCAACTATGACAGAATAATTCAACTCATGATGGAGGTGAGGGATGAAATCTGCGAGATGGCTCCACAGAGCTGGAAGCAAGAGATTTTTGAAGCTATTGATGTGGATGTTCTCTCTCAGGTAGCAGCACCATTAATTTTCTTCTGCAACATTACCTTCGTATGCATGTATGGAAAATTAAATTCTTTTCTTTTCCTTAGGTTTTAAAGTCCGGTAACCTGGACATTGATTACCTGGGAAAGATCCTAGAGTTTTCATTGGTCACATTGCGAAGGCTCTCCTCTCCAGCGAATGATGATGAAATGATGGCCACATACCAGAGTTTAAGGAAAGAACTAAATGAGATATGTCAAAACAGGGACGATTCCAGCTGCTCAAGTGTCCTGGCAATGGTCAAGGGCCTGCGTTTTGTTCTAGAGCAGATTCAGGTATGTCTCTAGTTTTAGTTGTACATCAGAAAAAGATTTCACATAATGTCTTTCTTTGAATTATTGGTGTTGTAAGCACATTTTGTAGTAGTATTTGCGAATTGTTGCATGAGAATCGAAAATGTTTTCAGTGTATTTGATAGTTACCTTTTTTTATCCCAAAACACAGCATTTCAAACACTTCTGTTAAAGTTCTTTTTAGTCAATGGATTCAAGTGTCATAATGTAGTTTGAAATACCAAAGATTCCCCCAGAGTGATGTAATGTTGAATTCTGTAACAGGTGCTTAAACGAGAGATTAGCAAAGCACGTATAAGACTTATGGAACCTTTGTTAAAGGGGCCAACTGGTGTGCAGTACCTGAGAAAAGCTTTTGCCGATCGCCATGGATCTCCCTCTGATGCCAATACCTCTCTACCACTTACAGCACAGTGGCTTTCAACAGTGTGGAATTGCAAAGATCAGGAGTGGCAAGAACATACAATCTCTTGCTCAACTCTGACAAGCGGAGATAATCCATCTCAGGGGTTTGTTCCTTCCACCTCCCTTAGAAGTGGTGGAAGCTTTCTGGTGAAAGCAAATTCTCCTTCTACTTCTGCTGCTACTAATAGCTCAGGTTTGAGTACGGAAATTACATTTTGTAAATTTTCATTTTATTTTAAGGGGATGTTTGTAATCGCAAGGTGGGTTCCGTGTTTCTTTGTTTAATATGTGTTTGTTTCTCTTGGACCAGGTATTCAACAACCAGAATGTAAGGGAGAACCGGTTGATTTGTTGGTGAGGATTGGTTTGTTGAAGTTGGTAAGCGGGGTGTCTGGTCTGACTGAAGAAGCTCTGCCCGAGACTCTCAAGCTTAACTGTTCTCGGCTGAGGGCTGTTCAGGCCCAAATTCAGAAAATTATTGTTACTTCCGTAAGGTAACTCAGAGTGCGCGCTCTCGGATTTACTTCCTAAATGATTGAAGTTTCAGTTGTCTTTGCCTTGAGTGACTATATCATAGCTTTCAAATCCTTGATGAATTTATGCAAACGCAGCGTTCTTATTTGCCGGCAAACCCTTCTAAGTGAGAGGATAGTAACCAGCCCCGCAGACATGGAACGCATATTATCAAAATGCACCGAGCGACTTCTGGGGACCTTGGGCAGTGCTGAAGATGCAGGCATGGAGGAAATTGTTGAATCAATTAGTGACATCTTGATCAACGGCAATGAAGTTGCAGACAGCGAGAAGCTTCGATCAAGGAAGGCGGTTATCACGAGCATGTTGGGAAAGAGCTTGCAAGCTGAGGATCCCGTGTTTAAAAGGGTTTCTTCTGCTGTTTACACGGCTGCAAGGGGAGTTGTTCTTGGCGGGAGCGGACCCCTAGGAAGAAAGTTAGCAGAAACAGCGCTCCGGCAAGTTGGAGCTGTGGCGCTGACCGACAGCGTGGTGGAAGCTGCGGAGGTTTTAGTGGTGGCAGCCACCGTATCAGTTAGTGTTCATGGACCTTGGTATTTACATCTGACCGAAAACATGTGAAGGGTTTGTGCTTGCTTGAAGATAGTAACGACGTCGTACAGAAGAAATAAGTAAAATACACGTGTATGTATATGGTGTGTGTGGATTGTATGTAGCTGTGTAGATGTAAGGTATGGATTTTTATTAATTCTTTCATGTAATAAAAAATAGAAATGTGAGGTGCTCTATTAATTTTTTTTGATTGAGTGTCTGAATTGTCGATATTAATCATTCGCTCTTGATTTTATTAATTCTTTCATGTAATAAGTAAATTTTACCGTCGTGGTACAAGTTGCTCGAAATTGTTACTCGCAAACCTATTACATGGTTGATGCTCAATTCTATCAAAATTTTCAACGACCGGCCAGATTTTTAGACAATCGATGACCCGTTGGCCACCTTTTTCAACGACCGGCCGAGCAACCGTATATTTCATAGAAGAAAATGATTTAGTGTAGAATTGGCCGACAGGTCACCGGTTGTCTAAAAATTTCACTGGTCGTTGAAAAAGTTGGTAGAATTGAATGGCAATCATGTAATAATTTTGTGAGTAACACAGCACATCTGAGATGCAACGTAATGTAGAGACTAAGAGCTCGTTTAGATGTGCTTTTAAAATGACTAGAAGTGCTTTTGATGAAATATTTTAGAAACAATCATTTGTAAAAATGCTAGTAAATCTTGAAAAAATATTTAAATACTTCTTGAAAAGAACACATAACTAGTGTTTCTTGTGGAAAGCGTTTAAAGTCTTAAAGTGCCTTTGGAACCTAAAAACATTTTCTCTAAAAGCGCTTCCAATCATTTTAAAAGCACATGCTACAAGACTACAAGGCACTTTTGTCAAATTAGATCAACGTCTCAACTTTACGTAAAAGAATAGACCAAATTAATTAAGAGGAAAACAAATCATCTAAATAACGGAGGGAAAACAGTTGCGTTTAAAGCCTCATCAGCCTTCAAGAACCACAGCGAAAAATGTCATCTTTAAAGGGAGGATGCTCGTATCCAACGTCTTAAACTCCCAACTTTCACCAGATTCACAATAACGAAAGCAAAACACCTGTTGGAACACCAATAAGAGTCATCGTTAGTATATGTGTTCAGAACTTTGAAGAGCTAATCCCAGGTCAAAACAATGGAGTTCGTACTATACACACTTCGAATGTTGAACAGTTCGTGCGTAATTACAAATCAGTATCTATATGTAATAGCAGACCAGCATGGATGATGCTATACAAAAGTAAAACAGCTAGTCAGACTGAACAGTACAACAACAACAACAACAACAAAGCCTTTTCCCACTAAGTGGGGTCGGCTATATGAAGCCTAGAACGTCATTGCACTTGGTTTTGTGTCTTCCGTTAGATCCAAGTACTCTAAGTCTTTTCTTAGAGTCTCTTCCAAAATCCTTCTAGGTCTTCCTCTACCCCTTCGGCCCTGAACCTCCGTCCCGTAATTGTCAGACTGAACAGCAATGACCAAACTTTGCCATAAAAAACATCTTCACGTATATTCAACCTTTCCTTGTGCAGAATGGCTAACCATATAGTTTGACGGGACACTATCACCAATGTAGGCAACTCCGATGGAACTAACACTTACGTATGATGACAAAACAATCCCAAATCGCTCTCACTGCTGTCACTTGAACTTGATGTAAATACAGATTTACGCCAAAGCAGATTTCAAAAGATAAAAACTACGGGGAACTAGAAATCCTATACCTCATCCCCCACATTCATACCAAAATCGATATTGCACGATATCTTATTCTCAATCAAATATGGTCCACCCAAACACAGATTCTGAAAGGGTTTATAGACCAAAAAGATTGAACTTCACAATATGGTAATATCTTAACAATATTGTTAAGATTTTCGTTCAAGTGACAAACGAATATGATAAATGCTTCTAGTATGACCAATGAAAGTTCAAAGTTTTTAACTGGGGTACACGTTTCAAAAACAAAATTGAAATGAAAGTTCGAAGTTCAGGGGAAAAGAAATAGCTCGAAACATTTTTATGCTATGGAACCAATAGGAAAGTAATTGAAGAATTACCTTTAAAACAGCACAGAAATTTGAAAGGTTGAATCACAAATCACAGCAAGAATGAAAGAAGCAAGCCTTAAGCATGAACAGCTTTAAACACTACTCTTAACTTTAGTTTTCGACTTACACTTAAATCGGGTTCCAAGAAGTATGGGATTCATCAACTACTCTACAATTAAACAACTCATAAGCTTAAAACATATGCAAGTCAATGCAAAAGTAACTGCACAGAGATATCAGGTGGTTCTGGATGGCACAATATTAAATGTTGAACAGTTGTATCTGTGAATATCGAGCTATAAAGATGAACATCGAAGTGATATGAGGCATACCATCAGACGGGCACCCCTCAGGTGTCGCTTATCTGTACCAGAACCTTATTCTTCTTGCCTGCAGATAAAAGCAGAAGTTTCCCGTCCACAATGTCTTCAGGTTCAATTCTCTTATTTTCACTATCAACTTTGGAGTTGTTCAAGTAAAGTCCCCCTTGCTTCAACAGACGCCGGGCAGCAGATTTGCTGTCAAGCAAACCAGATGAAACTGAGAGATCAAGAATAGAGAGATTAAGGACCTCATGATAAGGGAATGAGCATGAGGGGACATCCTCAGAAATGGCTTTAATGGCGTTCCAGTCCAATTTAGTATCAGCACCAGGCCTCATTGCTTCAGTTGCCTTGAGGGCCTCGTCCAGACCATCTTGACCATGCACAAAACGAGTGACCTCCTCGGCAAGCCTGCGCTGAGCTGTGTTGGGCAAGTATCCAGGTCTCTCCATCTCGCTCTCTAACTGTTTGATGTCATCCATGTCCAGGAAAGTGAGAATCTTGAGAAACCTGACCACATCAACATCAGTAACAGAGAACAAATACTGATACAACTTATAGGGAGACAACATGGATGGCGAAAGCCATATGGCACCATCTTCGGACTTGCCGAATTTGGTTCCATCACTCTTCAGTAGAAGAGGAAATGTCAAGCCATAAGCAGCAGCATCCACACGAAGAATCTTGCGTATGAGTTCAGTCCCTGCAGTTATATTCCCCCATTGATCGCTACCTCCAATCTGGACATTAACACCTTCATTGCGGAAGAGGTGGAGGAAATCATATCCCTGCAATAACTGGTAAGTGAACTCAGTATAGCTCATTCCTTGTTCTGACTCCAACCTCTTCTTCACACTCTCCTTCGCTATCATGCTCCCCACTCTTGCATACCGACCCACATCTCTGAGAAACTCTAACAACCGAACCTCTTTCCACCAATCATAATTATTCAAGATGGAAATCCCACCCAGAATTCTCGTAATCGTATTGGTAATGCCTGCGGTGTTTCGTGACAGAGTGTCAAGGTCGAGCTCGGGTCTCTCCAAGCTCTTGCCGGAAGGGTCTCCAACACGAGCGGTGGCACCACCGATCAAAGCGACGGGGTGATGGCCACATCTTTGGAACCATGAGAGGACAACAATTCCAATAAGGTTTCCCAAGTGTAAGGATTCGGCAGTTGGGTCGAACCCGCAGTAGACTTTGAGAGGAGGGAGATTGGGGTCGGAGCAGGATTGCCTTAAATGCTCACTGGTGATGGATTCAAGCAACCCTCTCTCTTCAAGAATTTCAACCACATTTGGACGCCCGGACAAGGACTGAAAACACTTGACGGTAGAGAGAATGATTGGATTCCTCAACTTATTTCTGCGAACGGTGGGTAACCTAGACACAGTACTGAGAGGAGGAAAGAAGAATGGGAGACTACGGTAGTAATGGGAGTAGAGAAAGGCCCTTGAGGTGGTGGCAGCAGCCATTATTAAATTCCTGCAAGAAAAAAGAGAGATTTTCAGAACCAGTAACTCGTTTTCTTAATTTCTTCAATTGCCATACTCAATGTTTTAAAAGGCTCGCCTCAGGGCGCGTCTAGACATCCTCTGAGGCTAGGCATGAAGGTTGCTGCCTTTATTTTAAGGCAGTAAACGGAAGGCGTTGCCGGAGCCGCCTAGGCAGCGAAGGCGCGCCTTAGGGCATCCAGGCGACTCTGTTTCGCCTTTTTTTTTTTCACTCCCAAACCTAAATTTTGGGTAAGGTTTTAACTGCCTTATACCTCTTTCTTGCACTATCGTCTCTCTGCCTTTTTTTTTTTCTTTCTGACTTTTATCTTTTTATATAATGGATGTGTGTACTATTTGCGTGCATTGTTATATGTGTGCTAAATGCTCATTGTGCTTTTCATTCTCTATTTAATATATATGTATATAATATATATATATATATATATATAATATAATATATGTGTATATATGTGTATATATATATTTACAATATATGTGTGTGCTCAGGGTGATTATTGATTAATAATCTTTTTTTTAATATAATATATATGTACGCTCAGTGTATATATTAAAAATTTTAGGTTCTGTGAGGCCTCATTTCACGCCTAGACCAGGCTATCCCTCGGACACCTCGCCCACACCTCCCGCTTTTAATACACTGGTCATACTCACGTTAATTTCCTCTTTGAACTTCGGTCTCTTCAATGACGAATGACACGCCAGAAATAATGATGTCGATGCCACTACTTCCAGTGGAAGTGAAACAAGAGCTAGCAAGAAGCCAGGAAAACCCACCTCTGAGAACCTTCAAACTTGAGGACATTCTCTCCAAACAATGATTCTTCGGCACCCAGCCATCTATCTTAGTGGAAAGATTCTGTCAAAATTTTGCCAGCATCTCCTTGTTATATGACCAAAAGGCCGAAATCTAAAACAAAACAACGAGCGGATTTCAGAATCAAGTAAAAGTCTATAAAGCTATATTAAAAGGCCAAAACTGAGACTAGGCCTAAACAGAAGCAGGGCATCAGCTACAAACCAGTGGCAGCTCTAGAAATTTTTCTCCACCGGGTCAATGTGTAAAAGTTCCAATGTATTAAAAGAGTGAGGCATGAGTGAGGTGTCTGAGGGATAGCCCAGTCTAGGCGTGAGGCTGAGCCGGAACCTAAATTTTTTAATATATACATTGAGCGTACACATGTATTAAATTAAAAAAAAGATTATTAATCAATAATCACCTGAGCACACGCATATATTATACATATTATATATATATATAATAGAGGATGAAAAACATAATGAGTAGTTGAGCACACATAACAATGCACGCAGACAGCACACACATCCATTATATAAAAAATAAAAATCAGAAAAAAAAAAAAGGCAGAGAGACGATAGTGCAAGGAAGAGGTATGAGGTAGTTAAAACCCTACCCAAACTTTGGATTTGAGAGAAAATAATAATAATAATAATAATAAATAAATCCCCTGACCCCTTTTAAAACATTGAAAACTTCTCATTTTTTTTCAGGAAGAAAAACCCTTACAAGCATTGTCCATGGACCATGATGAATTTTTTTACCAAAATCGTATTATGGTTTCATTATCGACGATAGCAACGAAACAGTCCCCAGATAATAATAGAGTTTATTAATTAATAGAGCTCTAAAACTTGAAATGATGGAAATTTGCCCCAAACTCCAAACGTTGAAAATTTTGGATAGAACTTCAAAAGCGATATAGAATTACAATTAAACGAAGTAATCTTCTTATACGTAAGGATGTTGATTCAATTTTCATGTACGAAAGTTGATATACTCTCTTCTTTTTTTGTACACACTAGTTGTTTTGTAAATTTACTAGACTAATTTTTTGATGAAGTTTCTTTTAAGGAAGGCTTCAGCGTGCGCAGCACACGAACAGACGCCATTGAGGCATTTTATCGAACAGTTGGAGGGCAATGTTTCCGGCAGACCCAAAAGCTTTGAGGGGTCAACTCCAGCCTCCCATCAAGAAAAACACTAAATTCCTAACTTGCTCAAATCCCTAACAACAACCAAACATTTTCTCACTAAATAGGATCGGCTATATGTATTTTAGAACGTCATTACGCTCGGTTCTAAATCCTTAATTTAAAGAAATCGAATCAGAAATTAAAATATAACTGAAGGGGAAAAGAAGAAGAAGAAGAAGGAGGAAGAACTCACATGAGATGGAGGTACAGGCGGCAACAATGGCTGCCTGATAGCGAGGAGCAGTCTCAGGAGGGGTGGAGGAGTGGCAATGGCTGCTGCACTCCACACTATCGGGTTTTGGGCCAAGATTGAGCTCTCTGCTGAGGTTTAATCATGACCGTTCATTTTAAAAGGAATCATCATCATCGCATAATTTCATGGCAAACGAGGCTCACTTTCTCTCCACCTCTCTCTCTCCTTCCTCTCCTTCAACAAGTAAGCTCTCCCCCACCCTCTTCGCTGCTTTTCCAATTTACTGTTTGGTTGCCGAGAAAAAAAGGCAGAGATGATCAAAATGTTAGACCAATAGATCAATCAATCAACGTCAGAATTCTTTACTCTTCTGCTTTTCCAATTTACTGTCAATTTTTTATTTATTTATTCGAAGAATTGCATATCCAGTTAGGTTTTCAAATTCTTTTGCATTCTCAATCACTGCTGCTGTGTTGCATTTCTGGGTTGCACTTATAATTTCAATTGTTTGGCGTTAAATCGTTACCAGGCTGTGCTGCCAGACTTTAGACAATCAAAAGGTTTGAGCTTTCTGGTGGATTCGAGATTCAACCGAAGCAAGCAGAGAACTTCAATGGAGATGCAGGGAAATGGAGTTCCAATGACAAGTGACCACTCTGCAGTTAAGATTCCACATGTACTGACTGTTGCTGGCTCCGATTCGGGTGCCGGTGCTGGAATCCAAGCTGATCTTAAGACTTGTGCTGCTCTCGGAGTGCACTGCTCTACTGTCATAACTGCTGTTACTGCACAAAACACTGTTGGGGTTCAGGTTGTTTGATGCTGCATTCCGTGGCCTATGTTCTGTTTGGTTGTTGAGAAAGCATAACACAAGATAGAAAAGAAAACATTTATAGTGGTGACTGTTATCTTTCTTTTTCTTTGATGGATAGGGTGTAAAGATTGTGCCCGAGGAGTTTGTTGCCGAGCAGATGAAGTCTGTGCTATCTGATACGGATGTTGATGTGGTAAGTCAATGATTGGAACTGCTTTTAGTTTCCACCTTCAACTGGTTTTACAAGCTGGTCTTGTTTGGGTTAATATTTAAACTTTGGGCTTAAAAGGAAGGGAGTCTAAATCCGAAGCCTAGAGTCAAACTCAGGTCATCTATCTCAAGACAAAATGACGGTCACCCATTAATGCAAAGGCTAGTTGCTTACAAGAGAAGTGATAACCGATGAAAATCCACCTACTCCCAGCCCAAGAGTACTTTTGGATGGCAGAACATGTAAAAATGTTGATGATTCACTATCCTTCAGTTACTTTCGGGCAAGAACAGAAACAATAGAGTTGGGTTAATTCGTCTATAAAAGGAGGAAGAAGGCCCAGAGACAAAGACATTCAACCAATCAAACAAACAAACATACAACTTGTCTCTCAGTCAAGCAAATACTCAGAAAGCTGCGCATTGTCCAAATTCTGCACCCTTTTAGCCTTAGATTTCCTGTAGAAAGACATCTTTTGTCTATGTAAAAGCTCCACTACCGTCCCCAAATGTTGTAGTATTGATTCTCATGTGTAAACTCGTTTACCCCTCATCCCTCTTTATTACTCAACCCTTTGTAATTGCAAAGAGAAGAGATTACAAGACGTTTTAACCTTGCCCGACAAGGTGAAATCTTGCCCGACTCTCTTTGTTTTTGCCTTTCCATTAATAGATCTAGTGTTATAATGTATCCCTCAGTATATATGCAAGTCATTTTCGGTCTCTTGATAATCCAAAGTTCTATTAACTCTCATATCTGTTCACTTTGTACTTTTACTATCGTAAAAGTAAATGAAACTGATGCCTTGATCAGATCTGAACCCCTACCCTTTAAAGCATACAAGATAAATAAAGTCATTGATCTCAAGGCATAGAAAAGAACTTAATGTAGATTTAACTCATCCACGACAATCCTTTGATGATAAGAAGTCAGAATAACTTGGGGCGCAAGTAATCGGCTTAAATACACTCATTTTACATCTGTCATACAGATATGGCAGTGGCACGCCTCAGCACTTGGTTAGTTTTGATTGCGAGCCTCACGGCCTACACCTAAGGCCCGACAAAGGCACCTTTCAAAACTAACTCTGTCCTCTTCTTGCAACCTGACAGCCAACCAAAATGCCAACTCCTCAAGGAGCTGTGTGCTCGAGCCAGGGACCCTTTCCAGCAAAATTCCTGCCCGAACAGGATTGTTTTTACGAGTCTTGTATTTTGGTACAATGACATGTTCCACTGTTTGATTTTAGCAAGTTAGTAACATTCTGGTACGATGACATATGTTCGACCATCATCGTGAGCTTATAGAATTGATTGATAATAGATTGTAGGGTAGTTATATAGTATAAAATAAATCTATATGCTACAAGTAGCTAATGAAATGTTGTATTCTTCATAGTTGGCTAGACATCCATTTTCTTTTTTAAGTCTGTATGTGGCTAAAAGTTTAATCTTAGCGTCTGCAATTGTTATTTCAAAAACGCTTTTATAAATTTGTCAGCTTTCGCTTCCTCTTTACCTGAGGCATGCATATTTTTTTTTTTTTTTGAGAAGAAACTATAACAGTTTATTAAAAAAGAAAAGTGAAATACACAGAAGTGGATAAGAAATCCACCAAGAACAGAACAAGAAAATCTCTCAAGGGGATCTGATTACAAGTAGGAAAACCTCAACCAAAATCACTTTACAACTGCTAACATATCCCACAGTATGTGAGAAAGAGAGTAATTCTTAAAATCATTCGAAACTGAAGCCCAGAGGGCTACCCAATATCTTACTCTTCCCTATAGATCTGCTACCCCCACACTAGTATAATCCTCAAAAATTCTTTTGTTACGCTCCAACTAAATGTTCCAAAAAACTGCCGACACCAGACAACCCCACAAAGCTTTAGCTTTCCTCCCAATTCCTAGAGCCTCAAAATTGGTACTTAGAAGCTCGAAACAACCCTTTGGAATGACCCAACTAACTCTAACCTCTTGAAACAATTTCCACCACAGTTGAATTGTGTAAGAACAATGAAGAAAAATGTGGTTAACACTCTCCTCCTTAGCTTTACACAAACTGCACCAATGGGGAGAGAAGCAAATAAAAGGACTTCTCCTTTGAATTTGATCACAAGTGTTGAGCTTCCCAATAGTCACTAGCCACACAAGAACTTTGACCTTCGGAGGAACTTTTGATTTCCAAGTCTGAGAAGAGGGTGGAAAATGTTGCACAATCCCATTGTTGCTCAAGAAAGAGCGATAGGATTTGCAAGTGAACAATCCTGATAATTCCAGTTTCCACCTTCTGTCATCCGCTCTTGATTGAGACAAGCGAACATTTTCCACTTTCTGTAATAATCTAGCCGCCTCTTCTATCTCCGCCTCATTCAAATTTCTCCTGAAATCAAAATTTCAGCTCAAAGAATTGATAGAAAGATCCACAAAACTTGCGATGTTCTGGTTGTGCTTTCTCGATAGCAAGAATAATCTAGGATATTGTTCTTTCAATGGTCCGCCTTCCAACCAACCAACCTGAGGCATGCATATTTTGCAAACTTGTTTATATCAAGAAGCGGTATTGATACTAAATTGGTTTTGATCTGCTCATGATATGTCATTCTAGGTGAAAACTGGGATGTTTGGCATCTTTAAGATTCTGCATCAACAACTTCAGGAGTATACTATTCGAGTCCTATTAAAAATTGAACATTTTTTTTATCTAATGTTAATAAAGTAGCATTTTTAATGAGTTTGATAATGTCATTGAAGGCAGCTTTAGTGGTTGACCAATTCTTCCTGGGTTTAGGTACGCTAATCCTTTGTACATAAGATTGAGTAAATTCATAGTCCCACCTTCTGGTTTTTTTCGCCTTATGAAAACCTCTTTAGGATGTTGAAACCATCTATTGAATGCAAAATGTGCATTCAGATCTGCTTGGCAGAAACAGAGATTGTATTGGCGGGCTGTGCTCTTTGAATAAACATGGATATATGCATAGTGCTTATGTTCTTGAATTGCTTCTTCACAGTTTTTCCCTGTTTTATTTCTTGGCCAATTTTCTCTGTCATTGGATTTTTTTTCTTCTTAAGTTAGAGAAGGGGTGATGCGACTACGGGACAGAGGTCCAGGGCCGAAGGGGTAGAGGAAGACCTAGGAAAACTTTGGAAGAGACTCTAAAAAAAGACTTTGAGTACTTGGATCTAACGGAGGACATGACACAGAACCGAGCGCAATGGCATTTTAGGATTCATATAGCCGACCCCACTTAGTGTGAAAAGGCTTTGTTGTTGTTGTTGTTGTTAAGTTAGAGAAGGGGTCTCCTTGTGTAACAGCTGTTACAGATACTCGTCAATAATTGTAATTTTGTGGTTTCCTGCAGAGAGGAGCTTCTTCCTATGGCTGACATAGTAACTCCAAATTTGAAAGAGGCGTCTGCTTTACTAGATGGCGTGAAAATAAAAACCGTTTCTGACATGCGTTCTGCTGCGAAATTGTTACATGATATGGGTCCACGGTTAGTTATTCGAACACGCTTGAGATCTCAGTTCTCTCTTAATCGGATGATTTACAGAACTTTTGTTTTTTGCATTGTTGCAGTTTATAATAGTCCTTCCAATGTCACTCAACTGTTGGACATGTTTTTAATAAAGCAGAATGTTGCATTAGTACTAAATTCGAATGCATTGTGAGTACTGTTGAAATCATAAGAGAAGGCACTTCACTTCACGAATGTGACTGGTTTTTGTTTGTTCTCGCAAAACATTCTTCCATTACCTAAGACTTTACTAGGAATAGTTTATCATTTCACCTGGATAATCAACTAAAACGCGAAGGTGTTTGTAGTTTTTAACCATTTCCAGTATGTCACTATTGTACAGCGGAGTACCCTTGAGCTTGTATTCAGGAATTTGTCGGAAATGGTCATGGTCATTTCTTTTTGTTCATATAACGTACATATAGGTTTGCTTCTTGGTTGCGTTGGTTCAATGGCTATACTACAGTCTACATATCCATCTTTGATTCTTTTGATCTCACTGTTGAATAAGTTGGGGGATAATGTAAAACTGTTATCGTGTTTGAAATTATCTGATTGATGTGGCAGTTGGGCTATCATATGGTATTGTTTGGTTTAGAGAGTTTGGCCAGGGTATTTACTGTGTTTCCAGGCATGTGCTTTTGGGCAATGGTGTATTAGGAGTTAGGACGCCCAAATATTGTATGATGAGTGTACATGAACACCTTTTCTGGACTTGTGGAAAAGCAGCAAATTCATCTATTTTCTCAGTAGATGGATTTCTTTGTTTTTGGCACGTTTCTTGGAAACAAGATTGCGTGATCATGGACTATGATAGACTAATTTGATGGGTATTAGTAATCTGTAAATGTTGTGGGGATGTATTAGTCTTTGGTTTCCAAAGAACAGTCTCCCAAGCTCTCAACTTATTATTTGGCAAGGTTTATAGCTCTGTGCCATCCTCGGTATATTGTCACCAATGTACAACAAGGATGAGGAGACAGTGACTGTTCTAGGGGTGTGAAGCCCAATAGCACAATGTCTCTCATTGAGGTTAGGAAGAGTTGCAGTTAGATAATATTGACATATTTCAAGCTACCAGTTACAGGTTTTTTTGAACATTTCTTTCTTCTCCCGTAGAATTTTGTAGTTTTCTTTTGCTTATTTCAATTGGTTTCGCTTCATTGGACAACACTTTTCACAGAATTAATGCAGTGCGATAGTTGGAAATTTATGAAATAAAAACCAAGTTTCTTCGTGTTGGAACTGTAGTTTTATAAAACAGTGTCATTGCCTTTCAGAAATGTTCTTGTCAAAGGCGGAGACCTTCCTGATTCATTGGATGCCGTTGATGTCTTCTTTGAGGTAAGCTTTGGTCTTCTGGAGCCTTCACACCGATGATAATACTTTTCTTTCATCCACTTGATGCATGAGTGAAGTTCTGGAAAACTTATTTCTTTAGGATTGATATTGAAGGCGAGCACTTGTACGAGTTGCGTTCATCACGCATAAAAACTCGTAATACTCATGGAACTGTTTGCACTTTGGCATCATGTATTGCAGCTGAGCTGGCAAAAGGTTCTTCAATGCTTGAGGCTGTTAAGGTAAATACATATGTGCTTCTTATACATCATATGCTGCAGGAAGAGTAGATAAAATAGCCTGCCTTCTTTCAGTTGAGCACGTATCCTGAAGTGGTCACACTCAAGAATAACAGAGGATAGTCATGGGTATGTGTGATTCCAAATAGCAGGGATAACTTTTATCACATATGACATGTGAAATTCCACTTTCACTCGCACACGCACCAACAAGAACACACAAAAGACTGACATTCACAAATGCAATTGAAGTGCCCAGATCTACTATCTTTTTTATTTAATTTTGGTAGGCAGCTAAGTTCTTTGTTGAGTCTGCCTTGGATATGGCCCTCACGGCCATATACAAGGCCCTTTCGATCACCTAATGACGCTCAAGAGTAACATTCACAATTCTGGTGGACAAGTCGGATTCAATCCAAGCGATCTATTCTTGTATGCTGTTACAGATTCGCGTATGAACAGAAAGTGGGGCCATTCTATTTCAGATGCTGTTAAAGATGCCGTACAAGGAGGTGCTACTATTGTCCAATTGAGGTTTTTACTCATCTAATGCTCATCATAATTCTTATATACTTTAGGCCTTATGTCTCTCTGATAACTTTAATGCTAGTGATTTGGTTCTTCCATTTGTATATATTAGTGCCTTGATAACTAATCCTAGAGACGCCGTTAGGTTAATGTTCATTCTTCATGTATTTTTGATGATCATTTCCTTTCTTGTAGAGTCAGATGCTGATTTCAGTTTACAAATATGCCAAAACTTTATGCAGTAATGTTTAATAGAAAAATTCTACGCACCGACAACTTAAGGAGTTTGCATTTGCTTTTTATAGATACATTATCTTGTATGCATCATATGTTATTGTTTCACATTGGGAATTGCCTACTCGGAACAGTGATCAACTGTCACCCACTCTTCTCATGTATGTTATTATTATGTATTGTTTCACCTTCAGTATTTGTTTGTAT